CAAACATCTGCGGATGACAAAGGACATTACAGCCTTCTGTCTTGAGTTAGAGAGGCTTACGCGGTTAGCGTATCCAACACCACAGACAAGCAGCTTTCATGGATAAGAGCTGCAGAATTGGTTTTGCAGTTGAGGGACTGGCCTGAATACTTCCAGATGTTCACCACCGTAGAGACAGTGCCGAGGGAATCCGCGTATGAACTGGTGAAAGCTATGGCGCTGCGCTGCGAACGTAGCAGGGAGATGGCTGTGGCGGTGCAACAAAGTACGGAACAAGTCGTGCTAAATGCATATGCCGATACATCCGTTAGCGAGAGCCAGACTCCAGTGGTGGAAAAAAATTGTGTTATGCAAGATACTTTGGAAGCATCTTGCAAAAGGTGGCCACACTGTTACAACTGTAACAATCCAGGACATTATAGTCGCGAGTGTGGAGAAAGTAAAACCTCAGCGTCAGCAAAGAAACTTGAACAGTGCCCAAGTAACTTTACGGCATCTTTGGATCGATGGATTTGCAGCTCGGCAAGGACACGATCGAGGAAGAATCAGCTGTTTGGGAAACAAATGGTGCTATATGTACGTTTGCTGGGATTGTTTCGAAGAGCTATGGTAGATACAGGCTCTCAAATCAGCATTATCCCCCTGAGATTGCTAATGATGAGCATGAAAAAGGGATTTGATCTGAACGCGGACGTTGAAGAAATCCCGATTCAGCAGTTACCTTCCGCATACGATGCCTCCGGGAAACGGATAAAGTTCAAGGGAGCGGTGAAGCTTACCTTGCAAGTCGAGAGTGGCACCAAGCACAGAGTAGCCTTTTTCGTTAGAGAGGGAGGAGATGGCAGAGTTGTGCTCGGAACAAATGCGCTAACGCAACTTGGGCCATATATCGCTGATTTGAGAAACACTCATAGTGGCACAAGAAGGACAGTTGTCGAAAAATTCGTCTAAGTCGGTGTTCCAAGAAAACGGGAAAAGCGGAAACAACAGCTCCAGACTGCACCGCTAACCGAGATGTCTCCTAATCGTAAAGGAGTACGGGAAGAGGTCGCGAACTGTAAAGTAGCCTTGAGTACAAAAAGCAGGAGCGGTCGCTTTCAGCACGGCGTTAACTTGGCAGGGGCCAAGCTCACCGTGGCGGGGGAGAACACGAGGATCTGGAATCCTGTGCGGTCCCTAGAGCGACAGCTCAAGAGATTCAAGAGAGGCAGGTTGTCAAAAGCCGCCAGGAATCGACTAAATCGAAATTCGCAATGCTTAGCTTAAGAAATGACGTGAAGACAACCGAGTCTGGTGCTGAATCACGTACTAAGAGCCACAAATATCGCATTAGACCCCTTAATTCTATTTTCAGGTATAGTCGTAGGTGGATGCAAGGACAGCCTCTTGATTTGGTAGATGAATGCCACGATGCGGGTAGCCAAGGTGGAAATCGGCCATCAATGGTGCAACAGCACTCCTTCTATGGAGGTGGGAGAAGACCTGTCGTCAGTTTCCTGGTCTCCAAGGGTCAAGACGCGAGAGTTGTCAATCCTCACTATGCACAAGTCAGGAGTCGGGACGACTCTTACCGACGGAGGGACATGTCAAGGATGGACGCGGTGACACCAATAGGCAATGATTATTGAATTTGTTGATCTTGACCATGTACTTTGTGCCGTGGCGGCTATAAATAAGGCCGCCCGGCCGTTGTTTTAGTCATTGTTATTGTCTGCTATTTCTAGTCTTCTAATAAATTTTTCTATTACTCTCTCGTTCCCCACCTGGACATCCGCCCTCGCACTAACGAACCCGGTTAGTGCGTGACACTTCTCTATTCTAGTAGGTTCCTTAAATGTTGCGGATACTTGCAACTTGAGCGTTCGATTTGCTTTCGTGGGATAATTTGCGATAGTAAGTTATGTAGATGATCAACAAAGCGCTGATACATTTCATCAATAGAGGATGAATTGTCAAATAATGCCCACCAATCTATAGTGCTTAACGCAAAGGAGATAGCGGAGTAATCACCGTGTACGTAGTCAAAGTCAAGGCAGGAATCCACTTGGGAATTGATAGGTATCATCAAATCGAAAGAAATGCTAGCATGATCAGATCCACAAAGTGGTGTCTGACTGCTACATTACTAGCTATGGGAGAAATGGAGAATATGAGGTCCAGCACATTATCATTTTTTGTATGTTGTAGTACAAGCTGGTTGAGTTGTAAATCATCAAATGCAATCATGTATCTCTTAGAAGTCGAACACAATGGAACGTTCCGTGACCAGTCAATGATTAGATTGGAATAACCTAAAAGAACTGTCGCGTCTCGCGATGCAAGGCGCTCCCCGAAGTACGGATGCCGGGGGCATCGGTTACCGCGCTATCCGGCGGCGATTACGGTAGCCGAGACGCGTGTTGCCGCGATCGTCTCCGGATTTCTCCTCAATTGGCTCGTTGCCAGCCAGGCGGCTATATAAAGCGGCGGCGCCTCACATGGGTGCCTTGTTCGCCTTCGTCTTATTGATTGATTTTGAATATCTTGTTCGAATTACGTTTCAGCCGCCATGCTCCTGTCCTTTTTTGAAAAAGCTGTTGAGCCGGATGTCTTTTGGATTGGAGAACGAATTCCTTTTTTGTTAGCGCAAGTCGACGCGCCTAGTATTAACCGGAAATCATCTATAGAAGCAGGAGGGGACGTGCTGTCGTCTACACCTTGGCGTTGCGCGGTGGATTTGTTGCGCGAAACCTCGGGAGCCTCAGGTATTTTTGAGAATGCTTGCAGACGCGCATCGGTAGCATGGGACGGGCCCTCGTCCCGTGTTTCTTTAGTAGTGGTGTAGTAATTTGTTTTTAGTTTAGCATTTTTGTCTATTTCTAATTGTAGTGTAGTGCCATAAGGATAAATCACTTAAATTTTCTCATGTTCCTTTGGTCGCGCGTTAGGTGCGCAGTAGGCTAGGTACGTCGCTTAGTATCGGGCGAGCATCAGGCCTCGGGTTACATCTAGGTGCAAGAGCCCACCGAGTCGCCACATGGTGCATCGACGCCGAGCGCATGGTGGATGCGGTATTCCGTCCGCGTGTGGGTTTTTGTTTGGGTAGCCGCGTTCCTAAGTCGCGATGGGTAGGTAACATCTCAGCAGGTTTTCGCGCAGTAGTAGCGCAGTTCTTAGCTATCCCATCCCCCATGCGTGCGTAACGATCCCGTAGTCTACCACGCTCCGCACCTAGTCTAACATCAGGAAAGTAGTTGGACAGGGCATGCGATTCGTGGTCATTTAGGTCACAGATAACACATAGCATTGCAGCCGCGCAGAGTGTAGCCAGTGCGCGGGGTGACTTAGTGGTAGTTGGTGGCAGCAACTTTCCAACTATGATCCCCAGGGCCCAGCGCACTGTCCTATACTGGTATGGCGGTGGATTCGGAAGGGCTATCTGGATTGGTGTGAGGTCGTTGTTCTGACCTTTTAGCCGCAGGGGCAAGAATTTCGCAGGGGTATCCGCAGGGGCTAATTCGCTGTAGGGGAAAACCGTCATAGGGACATCCGAAGGGAGAGGCCACTGCAACAATCCCATACCCATGGCTTCAGGTAGTTCTTTCTGGTATGCAGCCGTTTTGCTTTGTTCATGTGTTATTCGCGTCGCTCTACGGGGAACGTTCTGTCCCTTCTTGACCACCTTGTTCAACTACTTGCCCTCAACTTACGAAAGCGGCTAACAGACTGCGCAAAAAGATCGCGGAGGTCGAACAGGCCAATCTTGTTATGGAAAGCCCTACATTCGAGCCAGGCAAGGACTACGAACTTGTTAAAAATCATATTCGTTTTCTTTCGAACTTATTTTCTTTGATCAGTCGCGCTGCTTCTTCCTTACGCAGCCAGCGGGAGAAGGCTGAGGAGTTTGCTCATTCAAAATCCAGACGAGCATAGAGAGTTTTCCCTTCTCCAGGAGATTCTCGCGCACTGGGACTCCAGTGAGATGGATGATCTCTTGGATGAGGCAGACACTCTGCGTGACCGTTTGGGTAATGAGATCAAACTCCTGCCTAATGCGGATATGCTCTACGATCGTCACGTTTCTTCGATTGCGCCCATGCCTACCCCCAACTCGAACCTGTCACCAACATCTTCTAACACCCTTCAACCCTCTGCCCCCAACCAGCAGCTCGCGCAAGATGCCGATGTCGAGCGTGTTACCCATCCGCCGGAGCAGGATCGTCCATCTAATCCCTTATCAGTCGCGCCTGCTGTTCACCCCACTGCGAGCAACTCTGCGATCCCAACACAGGGTGAGCATTTCTCACAACCTCCTCTTGGATCTGGCATTCCCCCGGGCAACCCATCAACGGACCCCATTCTTTCTGCAAACCCCAACCCCCTGGGATCCCCATCACTTTGCCACATCCTAACCCCCAAACTACTAACCCATCCTCGTCCTTAGTCCCGCATCCTCCCTCTTGGAGCAGTCGTTCACCATACCCGCGTATGATATTCCAGCATTTCATGGCGACATCGCCAAATTCCTCGCATTTTGGAGTATGTTGAAGAAGGCTATGCACAACAACACCAGTGTACCCTTTCGTTCAAGTTTATGTACCTTCAGTCGCGCATGAAGGGAGAAGCAGCTGAGATCATCGCGGACTTCGAACCTAATGAAGAGGATTACGCGGAAGCAGTACGCATCATCGAGAGCACTTATAGCATACCCGAGCTCCTTCGCAATCGTCTCTGGGAGAAGCTCAAGCAACAGGCACGCGCAAGAGATAGTGCTACTTCTCAGCGCACCACTCTGTGCAGTATAAGGCCCCGGGCAGACTTCACGCGATTTGATCGTCGCGACTGAATCGCGACGAGACAACTGTTACAACATCATGCCGATCAACTTGCATTCGGTTGTGCTACTTTTTCAGCCGGAAATTTTTGAATGTGAATTGAAAATGAATGGAAACCTTGGCGATTAGATCGCGACGATTAAGTCGCATGAAGTCTGACCGGGGCCTAAGACAACCTGGGCCCAGATGAAAAGACTCAACGAGGAGTCTCGCTTTATCGCCGTACTGAAGACCATCCGTTCGAAGTTCTCACGCCATACGTGCGAGAAAGTTGGCGAACTGAAGAAGAAGGGAGATCCGATGTGGACGGTTGATGAATTATTGGCAGCCCTTGATGATGTGATCAGCAAGAGAAGATAGAAGATTTCGTCCCAGAGTATTATGCGACATATAACTCCGACTCTGCAGTTCGTCAAAGTTCTCTTTCCCGCCCAGGTATCCTAGTAAGCAGCCGAGTGCATCCTCATACGATCAGTCATCTTGTCTAACTTGCTCGCGCAGCGTACGTTCACCACCTCGATACCATTTCGTGAGAAGTCGACCGCCAACACCATACTATTCGCGACGCTCGTCGCGCAGTCCAACACGTCTACCACAACACCAAGTATATCGTTGCGTCTTCTGCGAGCAGGAAGGACACCCACCTGAGAACTGCTTCGAAGTAACTAGCGTCACACAACGCAGAGCAATTGCTAACGAAAGTGGACTTTGTTGGTTGTGCTTGAATCAAGGTCATCAGTGCAGATTTTGTTCAGCACCTACGTGCGGATGTGGCAGAGCTCACCATCCTGCCCTCTGCATTGATAGACCACGAGCGTCTTGTTACAGGCCATCGACATCTACCTATTACCATGTACCGCCTAGACGCGTCCAGTTCGAGGAAGAAGCGTGTAACTGTTGTCGGGTACAACACAGTTCACGCACACCTTCGCCGAGTGTAAGCAAGTCAAGGTCGCCTTCGTCATCCGGGCGCCGAAAGTATCCACCCAGCACAAGACGTGCAGGTTCCATTCTACGATCGTCTAGCGCGCCTCCCGTCTCTCAGAGCTCCATCTGTATGAACCAGCAGCCTACCTACCCGGAAGCCTCCTCTTCGACAGCGACGCACGAGAGCAAATGACCACTGAGGAAAGTAAAGGCGAACCATTAATGCTGAACTAATATTTGTTACTCTTTTCAAGTATAGAATTAGTTAAATCATTTAGTTTCCTATGTGTTTTCCTTTTTCCTTGTTACCTTTCAACTTTTTCCCCTTTTGTGTTCAAAATTCAGGTCACCCTTGCCTTCCTGCCAGTCCATTGCCTGCTCGAGCTGTTACGTTGAACCGTCTCTCATCCACTCTTACGCCCAATACAGGTGGCTCTCGGTTGCGCTATCGCAGGATGATACTCAGATGAGCTTATAATTTGTTTTCCAATCTTTTACTCGTTTTACTTTCTTTGCTTCGTACCCGGACTGTCGCGCGTAGCAGGGATCTCACTTTCAGCTGCGCTCCAAACACGTCTTTAGCATTACGCATGCTGCTTTACCTAGTCCACATTTTGATCACGCGCTACATAAAATGCAGCTTGCGCGCATTTGCTTCCAGCTATTTACTGTGGTCGTGAGAAGCTGGACTACATCCATATGGCAGCAGTTTTTACGATTTTGCGTTTTTGCTACTGAAAAACAGCATAGTGTGGCTGCAGTTCTAGAGTTCCTTGCACGTAGATACATTTGGCCCCATATCAAGGGGGAGAGTTTTTATCCTTGCGCCCTGAACATCGGCAGTAAGCGTCCTCATGTTTCGTTTAGGTGCGCGCTTTGTAGGGTTTTGAGGTGTGTGGCTGTATGCTGAATCTTTCCGTCTTACCACAAACTTTGTATAGTAAGTATGCTTTTTTTCTATCGCTCGTTGACCATGTAAAGATCATGTGTTGCAGTACCGTTCCATCATTTCGTAACGCCTGGTCAAATGGAGCTGTGTTTGTCTTGCTTATACCAAGAGAATGGTCCAGATTTTCGGGGGGGGGGGGGAGTGTCGCGTCTCGCGATGCAAGGCGCTCCTCGAAGTACGGAGGCCGAGGGAATCGGTTACCGCGCTATCCGGCGGCGATTACGGTAGCCGAGACGCGTGTTGCCGCGATCGTCTCCGGATTTCTCCTTAATTGGCTCGTTGCCAGCCAGGCTATATAAAGCGGCGGCGCCTCACTTGGGTGCCTTGTTCGCCTTCGTCTTATTGATTGATTTTGAATATCTTGTTCGAATTACGTTTCAGCCGCCATGCTCCTGTCCTTTTTTGAAAAAGCTGTTGAGCCGGATGTCTTTTGGATTGGAGAACGAATTCCTTTTTTGTTAGCGCAAGTCGACGCGCCTAGTATTAACCGGAAATTATCTACAGGAGCAGGAGCGGACGTGCTGTCGTCTACACCTTGGCGTTGCGCGGTGGATTTGTTGCGCGAAACCTCGGAAGCCTCAGGTATTTTTGAGAATGCTTGCAGACGCGCATCGGTAGCATGGGACGGGCCCTCGTCCCGTGTTTCTTTAGTAGTGGTGTAGTAATTTGTTTTTAGTTTAGCATTTTTGTCTATTTCTAATTGTAGTGTAGTGCCATAAGGATAAATCACTTAAATTTTCTCATGTTCCTTTGGTCGCGCGTTAGGTGCGCAGTAGGCTAGGTACGTCACTTAGTATCGGGCGAGCATCAGGCCTCGGGTTACATCTAGGTGCAAAAGCCCACCGAGTCGCCACAAGAACCATATTCTGATGAGAAACGCAAATAATAAAAAATCTATGAGACGAGAACATCATCGGCTGAAGAAGAAGAAGGACGATAAACAAAAACAAGAGTACATTCGAATTGCAAACCATATACTTTGATGGAAAGTACATCAAATTAGCCTACTATAGACATTGATAATATCTCACATAGATAGAATGTTATCACGAACAAAAATACATAGCCCGCCACCAAATTTATTGAGTCGATCCTTACGAAAAATTCTATATGGAAAATTGGGGCACAATTCAGAAGACTCGATGGCAGGGGTGAGCCATGTTTCAGTTATACATACGATGTCTGGTTTATCATTGAAGAGGAGAAACTGAAGAGCACTGATTTTATTCACAAAGCTACGGGCATTGAGAAGAATACAACTAATCTTACTGGGACCATGCGAATCTTTTAGTTTTTTTCTTGATGTAGGCCCTGCCTTGAAGATTTTTGGATGTCAGTGACCTTCACTAGCTCTCCACGGTAGATCACATAAGCTTTATAGCCCAGGGCCTTATTTTTCCCGTGCAACCTTATGTAACTCGAAATGCCTTTTGCGCTCGTCAGTAATTAGACTAGGCCGTACGAATATACTTGAAAAACGAGGGTTACTGCGCAGAAGTTTTGCTTTGCTAAGTATCTTGAGAGAGTGTGTTCTGGAGGGAAGCACCTTGTCGACCTTGTTAAGCCGTGGTTTCCTTTCAGAAGCATTACCCATTCTATAGATAGCCACAGGGCGGATCTCTATGTAGAGTGCATCCATTATTTCAGAAACTTTACTCTCGACATCAGCTTGCTTTATCGAAGGAGAGTGCCAGGTGATAGCTCAGAAATGCCGTGAATTACAATTCTCCTGCGGCGCTAGAATTCTTCGCGCTTTTCTATCCTCCTTTCTCATCCTTTGCAGGATCTAACCTTACTTTCTGCTTGCTTTTCTTTTTGTTTAACCTGCAGTATGCGATTTGGTCACTTTAGCCACCTTTCGCAATTGCACCACTTGACATCCGTAGTGCAACACCGCGTGGCGGTACATCAACTAAGAGCTGCGAAAAAAGATAAGTTGTCAACAAACAATCTAAAAATGGGTCCTGCACAGGATCCATGCCTACCAATGTGTGCTCTTATACGAAGCGACTTTGAAATGACTCCAATCGAGGGCATACCTTCAATCCGCCCCGTCCAAAAGCCGCATCCTCCTCATCGCGTGTGAAAATGAGGTTTACTCCCATCGTTTACATCAAAATGTGCAAGATTGATAGCGGCTGTGCAAGATCTGATAACGACTAATAAAAGTACCTTCATACCGCGTCGGCAGCACCGCTGGCAGCCGTACCAGCTCACAGCAGCCGCTGGTCGCTTTTGTCATAAAAACGCAAAATCATTGAATTCTTACTACTCTGAGTGTGCCCGCCACGCTCTCCATCTTTCACGCTTTTTCCTTCCTTTTGTCGCAATTCGATCTCATACATCATATACTTGAGTCCATTGTTGTTATTATCTTATTGCCGTATATTGGTCATCCTATTGGTGCACAGTAGTTTTCCTCTCGCAGTTGAACCATATTCCGCCAAAGTTTTTTTGCTGTGTGATTTCTTCTGACTTTGGATGCTCCAGTTGCTGCAGGCGTGCTATTTGTTTACTTTTTAAGTATGGTTCCGCTTTAATCATATCCTTGGCCGGTACTTACCCTGAATAACTCTGTAATGTGTGAGGTGCAGCTGCACATTAGCCGCAATAGGAAGAAGGAAAATGGAAGATTAAGAGCGTGGGCGAGCGCACTCAAAGTAGTAAGAATTTGATGATTTTGCACTACTATGACAAAAACGGCCAGCATATGCTTGAGCTGCTAGCGGCTGCTACGGGCTGCTAGCGGTGGTTGCCGGCGCAGTATGAAGGCACCCTAAGACTTCATTTTCACTGTAAAGTGCAGTGCTCAAAATCAACAAATCGATAGAAGAACTGAGCGAACTGCTGCAAGAGGTAGCTTACGTGCGCGCAGGGGTAGAAAAGATATGTGTGCAAAATTTGGCGCTTCTCCGTTGACTTACAAAGATTTCTATTCGACACATACTTTACGCAAACATACTTACTCACAAACTTTGCTTATATACAGAGACTAGTTGGCTTTCCCGGTCCAGCCCGGGCCATTGTTCACCTGCACTGCAAGCCCCTCCCCCCTCTTATATATTACTAGTTGGCTTCCCCGATCCAGCCCGGGTATCGTACAGGTGAAGTAGATGGTGCGGTTGCCAGCAAAACTACCGCACTACAATCCCCCCCCCCGTTTTTTCATATGAATGACCTACCTTGCAGCGCCCGCTTCGGTTCACTGCATCCTCGTGATCCTGAGGTAGAAATGAACTTCACCGCTCTCCTTTACATGACAATGAAAAAATGCTTGGTTAAACATGATAAGCCTTGATCTCTTTAGTAAAACGTAAACGAATCAATAAATCGATAGAAGGACCCAGTAAATCGACGCAAAAAGTAGCCTGTCATCTGCGCAGGGGTCGTAACCGTATGTGTGCAAAGTTTCAGCTGAATCGGTTGAACGGCGCGCGTTTCTATAACGCACATAGCCTCCGAACTCACAATTTTGAGTTTTATATATATAGATGTATCACTTACCTTGGGACATCCGCTTCGAAACCGCGTCTTCGTGATCCCGAAGTGAAAATGAGCTTCACTGCCCTCTTTACATGACAATGGAAAAATGCTTGGTTAGACATGATAAGCTCTCAATTCCTTAGAAAAACGTAAACAAATGAATAAATCGATAGAAGAACCCAACAAATCGACGCAAAAAGTAGCCTATCATTTGCGCAGGGGTCGAAAACGTAGTGTGCAAAGTTTCAGCTGAATCGGTTGAGCGGCGCGGGTTTTTACAGTGCACGCCTCTAAACTCACAACTTTGAGTTTTTACATATAGACTACAGTCTGCCCCAATCTCAACCAGGCCAAAATTGGCATGGATGGACTGCGTCGCTAGAGTTCGCGGTCATGCCCACGGCCTGCTTCTCTGCTCTCTCTCCAGTCCTTTTGCTCTCTCCGACAGCGCGCACATGCAGCGCAGACTGCTAGCGCTACGAGCGCGCAAATTCACGCCGACGGTTCGGCCTGATCCCGATTGGAGCAGACTGTAGATGGCTCTCCCGGTCCCGCCCGGAAATTAGGCAACTAATCCCAAAC